GGGATGGGAATCTAATGTAATGGAGAGAGGCAGATGGGATGGTCTCGGAGAGGAGCACCCGTTACTGAGCCATGCTCACTGCCCAATGTGCAAAGGAACCAATACTATGGCACCAGCTTTGGAGAAAAGAGAGAGCTTTTATTTGCAAGTTTGGCCAGCAAGGAGACAGGAGGCAGGGCTCAAATCGGTCTCTGGATCTGGAATTCGGGGCAAGATTTCAGAGGTGTCAGCACCATATCTTCCTAGACAAGGGACTCTTGGCTTCTGAAAGGGTCCTGGTGTTCAGGTTCCAGTCATGTCCAGTCCTTTGGTTCTGTGGAGGGACATCAGTTAAGGGTCCACAAGTGCCACTCATGAGTGGTGTTCACAAGTGTTACTCGTAAGTGGTGTATCCAAAGCTTAAACTTTGGTTCTGGGTTTTGTTAGAAACAAGACTTGCTAGTGAATCCTGCCAGTGGGCATGTCAGTGACATCACTGCTCAGTGAGTCGTGGATGTGCCCTCTGGACCTCAGTTCTGGTGGTGGGGGTGATCTCCCCTGTCCATTCCAGTCCTGGGTGCGCTCCCCCAGGTTTGGGGTAGGTTTTGTCATGAAAGAATGGTTAAGAATTGTTGAAGTCATGACCATTACTACTTTCTTTTCCCTCCTTTATTTTTATTGCTTCTACTTTACTGTCTTCTATAAACTTGTTCAAGTTTTCCATTCTGAAAAATTAAAACAAAGGGAACCCATATTTAGCCTCTCCCTTTAGTTACTGCTCTGTTTATTTTTACAATCAAGTTCCTTAAAAGAATATACTGAGCTTACTGCAGTGGAATGGTCTATTGCTCCCAAGTATTAGTTCCTTCTCTTAATAGAATGACACAACTCTGCCCATCATGAGACTTGTCCATCCTTTCTGAAGGAAAGTGTACATCCCTGCCCCATTGATTTGGGTCTGGGCCATGACACTTGTTTTTCTCCATAGAACATGGGTGAACAGAGTGGCACTTCTAAGCAAAGATTTATGAGACAAGACATATTTCCACTCATCCTTCTCAAGCTGTTGCCCTCGGCCATGAGAAGAGCATGCCCCAGAGTGTGGCTGCTCCTTTGGTCTGGGACCTAGAATGAGAAGACACGAGGAGCCCAGCTGGGGGCCTGGTCTGGGAATATGGCTTTGACCACCACCTCACTCTTTTCCTTGATATCATCTCAGTTTCTGAAATAAAAGCAAAAAAAAAAAAAAAAAA